TCCTGTAGCCGTTAAATCAAGATATTGGAAGGATTGACTTCATAATTACGCATACATTCATGATGCCATTGGACGACCGTACGTTAAGCGTTCTTGTCTCAAGGGTAGTATTAGTAGCTTCTCTCAAAAGAATAATCAATAAATCATTCAAGCAATGGTTAGAGGTATTAAACCTGATTTATATTTCAATTAGTAATCTCAATATCTTCAACTGGTGACTTCAATTCCTTATTCGTGTTCACACACCGAATCCAAACTGTGTGAAAGCAAGCCCACTCGTTCATTGTTTGTTTTAGATTACAATATCAAAACAGAACAATATACATAAAGTGTGCAGTGATAAGTTTACCGGATAAATAATCTGTTTTAAGTTGGAATGGTTTCGGATTATGTTGTGACCAGAATTTACTTAAAGCTTTTACGTTTCTTGTATTGTTATTCCAACACAATACAAAAATATATTAAAACCGTTTTGTCCAGTTTCCAATTTTCTATTTTGCCACTCTTATTAAATCCAAGGTTAAACAATGCCATTATAATAAGTTTGGCTTGTTCTTAAAGTCCAGTTTAAGAAATACACGAAGCTCACAGACTTTTCTACCACCTATCTAGTAAACGTAGTGAAACCACCAGTTAAATTAGTTTATCTTTTAAACAACAACCCACGTACACAGTAACCTTGAGTAACAAGTTTAGAAAATTTGTATAATTTCAATTTACCAGTATGCTTTAATATTTTCGTCCAATTTTCTTAATTTCTCTGTAGTTATCGAAGTGTATATTTGTGTAAAAGGACAAATATTTTGCACAATTTGTTAGCTTGCTAGGATGAGCTGAAAATAAAGTGAATTTTTTTGTTATTCTAACAGTTTTTAGTATGAATGTTGAATGGTTTTTCATTCATACTTTATGATTATAACTTAATAATTAGTAAAAAAAACGAGGGCCCAGCATGACCCAATGGTTAGTGTGCTATTCGCCAGCTTTCCTTGTAATGTTTCGTTTTATACGTAGAGTTAGTTATTACTTTTGTTGAGCTGTTAAACCTTTTCACAGCTGACTTAATGAAATTAATGCTTAATGGAGAACCTAATGAACTGAAACTTTTCTTAGACTTCTTAATTTTCATGACAATCTCTCTTGAACAATGTTTTTCTTGTCTTTACTAGACTTTTCTTCGATAGGATTAATATCATAATATTTCGTTTTCATTACAATTATAACCATTATTACAAAAGAAATGTGTTCCATATTATATTATTGTGAGAATATTTTCTATCGAAACCACACTCGCTGGCATAGATAATATTTTCTATTTTTCCAGAATAACTTCAAAATGCGGTTGGATACAGCATCTCTGAATCATCAGGTGTTATTGTCTTGTCTGTCGAAGTGCAAACCATACTTTCAAAGAATGGTGTACGATAATACCAAACAGTTTTAGTAGGTAAAACCTCAAGGATAGAAACCCGACCGAAAGTGAGTTACGGTTTAGTTTAAAATCTTTACTAATTGCTTGTGGCGAAAAAGACTTAAAGGGAACGTAAGCATGATTTTTTTAGCATAATAATTAATTCAAGTAAACTGACAAAATGTAAATTTTCTTGATGGAAAACATATATGAAAGCTAACGAGCATTCTCATAAAATATTAATTTAGAAGATTCCATCATTCAAGTTATATACAAAACCAGACAGCAAAGCAACCAGGGAACTACAATTTTCCTGTCTATAGAGATATCCAACTGATGTAACAATGAATTCTAAACTTTACAATTCTGAATTTAAGAAAAAATAGTTAATTAGCTATAGTCACTACCGATGCTAGTTTGAATTTTAGTTTCGCTCTAAGCAGGTAGCTGGCTATGATCTAAAGTTACTATTAAGCTATATATATAAGAGCTCCTTATATATCAAAAGCACCAGTGAAATCCTACAAAGCCAAACCCTGCACTAAATAAATTATTTTTTTGATTTATATGTAACATATTAATTCTCGGCGTTCAAGCTCATCGTGACACCAACCAATCAGTTCCACAAAATCAAACCCTACACCAATGAAATTGGACTTTTCCTGTCCGTAGGGTAACATATTAACGTCCGACATCTCACCCACCAACCAAATCCTCTAGTTCAGTAAAAAGGGAAAGCTTTTCCTCTCCATAACATCATATATGTTGACACCCGACAATCCAGTACTCAATTAAATCCCATAAAACCAAATTACAAACCAACGAAATTATCTTTTCATCTCCATATAATCATATATTAACTTTCTAAATGAGTCAAATCAATTCCAGATGATGCTACTTCATCAAGTAAAAATATTCACCTATCATTTTTTTTTGGCAATAAAAAATCAGAAAAAAAAATTGAAAAAAATATTTTTTTGTATAAAAAATAATTTGGTCTAATTAAATATTACAACCAGTAAACATTTGTGAATTTCTGTGGGTTATACAAATAATGTATTTCAATGACATTTCTACCAAAAATGGCTACACTTTTATTTTTAAAACACAAACACGCCACCTACATTTTTTTATAAATGTATAGTTTTTTTTTCAATAGAAATGAAAGAACCTGTACTGCTTTTATAGTTTCTCCAATATTTCTGTTCTTAAGCATTTTGACAATTTTTATTTTATTTAGCCATTCCTGTCAAAGTCTTGCCCTCCCTCTTCCTGTGGCTTAATGATAAGCTTATTGGTTTATAACTGTAATATTCGGGGTTCGATTTTTGTGGTGGGCATAGCACAGATAGCCCATTATGCAGCTTTGGGCTTAACAACAAACAAGCAAACGAACAAACCGTCAAAATTCAATTATAACTTCAAAATTTGTAAGCAACTTCGTGTTTTTCTTTTCAGACAAGATAACCCATTTGAGGTGTCAGATGTTTAGGTGAGTGTTGTCAAGATCAAAGGTAATTTCAAGCTTCTTTTCCAGAATTACTTTTTAGCAGGATATGAACACACAAACACACATAGAAAAAATAACAACACATGATGTGTTTGTAGCTGAAGTTTTCCTTTGGGTATATACGGATGCTACACTTGCGTAAGTTAATCAAATTTCAAAATTTGTTTGTTTTGATTTTGAATTTCGCGCAAAGCTACACGAGGTCTATTTGCGCTAGCCGTCCCTAATTTAGCAGTGTAAGACTAGAGGGAAGGCAGCC